GAGCATAATTAATTGATGATAACAAAGAAATTTCAATTATGTGGATCAGGATGAATAGGCTATTACTAAACTTCTTTATGTAATTGCGATTCAATGATTTAATCCCGAAATAGCTCTTAGCTCTTGAAGTGCGAAATCTATACGAATAGATTAAAGAATTTCAGCCAATGAATTTCTAATTCCGGTAACACTATCAAATTTAAATTTTTATTGGTTTAAAAAAATAAATTCGGTTCGGTTTCGGTTTACCCATAAAACCGAACCGTTAGGAGCTTTAATCACCAATCATAACTGTGCACTGGAAGATGGAGACTAGACCTATAATGTCTTAATCTGAGTCTTTTTCCTTTTTTTATTGTCATGCTGTACATGTTATGGATGCGTGTTGTGCATTATTGTACACGAATGCAATACAGTTCCTCAAAAATCGTTTAAAAAAAACCACTTCGAAAAAATATATAATTTCTAAATCTGCCTGACCAGTATTGATCACGGGTGTCAGATTTAGATTTAATAAACTTCCATCCTCAAACAAGTGACCAAGGTGTTTACACGCTCTCATAATCATGGGATCTTTTCCCGTGGACGAGTAAAATCTACAGGTTTGGAGGTGTTGACAAGCAAGAGGCTTTAGCTAATGTTTTCATTTGGCTACTTGGTTGACAAAAATGGTGAAGGAGGTCAAAGCAGCCAGGACAGCGAGAAAATTATTTTTCTTAAATGATCATGATCAAGAGCCGGTCTTTTTAAAGAGTCATCCCATTAACTTGACACAGTGATTCACCGGTGGGTTTTTTTGTTAGCCAATAGCCAAATACCAGCATCAGCTTTAGCCATCTCTTTGACAATGAATGATGCAATTCCAACAAACTCCAGAGCAGAGCTCCCCCGGAATTTAATCACATCGTTGTATCATCGGGCGATGCAGATCAGATTAGCGATATATGCTCGAGAAAGCAAAAGAATGATTGAAATGGTTTAAATATAAGTTTCCATCCGATAACAAACGTTGCAGATCGAATTTGTTCCCAAATCGTCCAAGCACACACAGCCCTTCATGAGAGATATCTCCATCAGCCATGTTGTCTTTCTCACCTGTGATATTTTTTATAATATTAATAACAATTATGCGAAAACTAATTACCCTCGCCATATAATGTAAAAGACGCTAGTTACTCCATATTCTGTTTTTATATGGTGTATAGACTACTGCAAAAAAAGAAATAAAGGCATCAATTAGTACGAAAAAATAAACCTGAAATTGTTGGTAAAACCATACAAAGTATTTTTTTTTTGAAAAAAAGGAGAAAAGACGCGTAGCATGTCAACAGTATTGGTGTGTAGCGTCGCACATGGAGAAAAAAGACGGAAAGATAAAAAATACTCATTGGGAATTTTTTTAAAATGATGGTTGCGTGCAATTGTCATTCTAGTTTGTTAAGTAATGACAAAACAAAAGGGATATTTGGAAGATGATATGTACCCGTTACGTTCGTGAATCGAATATGGTGTACGTGGGTGGGCAGTTAGAACACTGGAAGATATCTAGATCTATTAACAGATTCAAAATTTGGTGCTAGACTTTCTCGACATTAGTAATATTATTGGCTCATGCAGGGAAAGATTTTTTACCAGACGATGAAAAGGCCTCATTTTAGCAAAAAAAAAGAAGAGTGTGATCATTGTTGTTAACATTGTGAATAAATATCCTTGCAAAAAATATTTATGTATTATTGCATTATAAAAGAAGTTTTTATCTTTATGTTTAATAAATAATCAAATGTTCTTTACATATATAAAATGTAAAAAAAAAAAGATAAATTTGCCAAATAATGAAAATAATAAATATTATATATATAAATAATTAATATCTACAAACAATTATAAGTAAAAATAAATAAATAAATATATAAAAATACAGTTGTGATTTTCTTTTGTTGAGCATAATCAATGACAATATTTCTATTTTTTTAATAAGATTAACTGTTATAAATATCAATTTTCATCCCCTTTAACACTTCGGTAGCTTTTGGTTGTCTATTTAAAGCTGCCAATTTCAAATATTTAATTCCTTGGTCTCGATTTTTTGGAACGCCAAGTTTTCCATTAAGATACATATCACCCAAATTAAATTGTGCTGTTGGATTTGAATTGTCAGCAGCTAATTTAAGATATCGGATAAATTCTTCTTTGTTAAACTTGGTTTTATTTTCAACCAATGAGAATGCATATCTTAATTGTGCATCAGGAATGCCTTCGTCGGCTGCTGCTTTAAACAATTTGGCTGCAGATGTTCTATCTTTTTTGTTACCACCATATCCTTCCCACAAATAATATCCTTTCCAATATTTAGCTCTTGGATTGTTAAGATCAGCATGTGCTTTAAAACACGTCCATGCTTTTTCGTGTTTTTTTTCTTTATGAGCGTTAATACCATCATCAAGTGTCATAATTTCTGTAATTTTATCGGATTGGAATAATACATCGAGTTGTTTACTGCTACCTTCATCACTCACAGAAACAGGTTTCTTTCCTCCTCTTAAAGACCCATCAAAATCAATCGTTTTTTGTGGGTATAAACGTGCTCCAGCAACAGGAGGAGGGTATTTTGAATATAAACCATTTAATTGAAAGAAAACAAGCTGAAGTGATGATCTTATTGAAGGATCATCTTCCCATGCTTTTTTTTTTTTTGGTAAATATTTACAAATTAAATAATAGTGATAATAAGTTAAAAATATTAGTTTACAAATAAATAAATTTGCTTGTATGTTAAATTATTAATCTTACCTCCTTTTATAATTTTAGCATAATCTTCTTGGAGATTTTTGGTTTCATGATCTGCTTCACCAAATCGTATGTTTTCTCTACCACCAGCTAATACATATTCCCTAACTTTTGACATATCCCATTTTTCATAGGGAACTCTTTCAAAAGCAAGCTCCCAAAGCAACATACCAAAACTATACACAAATAACGTAAATCATTAAATTATTAATCAATAAATTACTAAATTATAAATATTGGTTTTCCTTTTTTAAAAAAAATGATACCTGAAAATTTCACATTTAAAGTTATAACGTTGTTTTGGTCCAAATCTCAATTTCTCTGGAGCTAGCCAATGAATAACTTCGGTTATATTTTTCACATCAGAAGTTACACCATCAGTATGACGGGCATAATCAAATTTAGCAATTTTTGATTTATAATTTTTGTCCATCTTTTATTATTTTTATCAAATAAATAATATATTAATATTAAATAATAATAGTAATAATTAGTAAATAATAATAGCATTTAATAACAATATTATTATTTAATGATAAATTTAATTACCATAATATTATCACAACGAATATCATGGTGAAGAATTAAACATGAATGCAAAAATGTAAGGCCACGACAAATTTCGAGAGCTATTTCAACTTTAGTACGCCATCCAATATCATACGCATCATAAACTTCTTTTAAACTGCCCAATTCTGCCCATTCAAGCACCATCACTTGTGCACCATCAATAGTTGAAAGACCATAAAATTTTATTATATTATCTGAACCACGTAGCTTTCCTAAAATAGTAAATAGTGCTTGTACCTTTTGATAATCTTGTGATTTTTCCTTTTCACTTGGTATTGAGACAACTTTACATGCAACGTCCACTGAACCTGCTTTTTTCAAGATTTTTTTAAAAATATAAGGTGGTTTTCCTCTACGATCTCCTTTTCTTGGATACATAGTGTCCCCTAACTCAGCTGGTGATATTTGAGCTGGTTTAATGGGATTTTCATTATATGGTGTATTTTTATCAATTGAATCCATTTGACCTTTTATAATCAAAACTTCTTCAAGTACTGTATTAATTTGATGATTGTTATCAACAATGCCACCATGAATCTTATCCAAGAACTGTTTTTTTTTTAATTGAGAAAAATTTAGAAGATGATAATAATAATAATGGTAATAATAATAATAGTATAATAATCTACCTCAGTCATCTCTTCGAGATCTTCCTTTAAACTTTTTTGATCAATTTCACTTTGACTCTGAGCAGACACGGTTAGTGTGAAATGTAAATCTTTCATAACACCATCAAATTCCTTGGTAAGTGATTTAAATTTTTCTTTAACATTATTTGCATGAAGATATTTTTTATACCCATGAAGTTGAGATATACTTTCAAGAAAATCCTTTACTTTTCTCAAAACCTCAGTAAAACGCACAAAATTTTTATAATATATCTCATCTTGAAATGCCTTTACATTATCTTCTTTTCTTCGTTGTAAAGCTTTAACTGATAATTGAGCAGCTTCTACACGATCAATAAAAACATTGCAAATTTTTTTATTATACTGTGCATTCTCATAAACTTGAACTATCTCTTCTGCCAAAATAGCTACAATGCTTATTAGTGGAATAAATGGTTTAACAGCTTCACTGACTGCACTGACTACATCAAGTGCTTGTTTGGCTGTATCTAAACTAGTGCCAATCGATGAAAAATTTTGAACAACTTCTACTCCAGAGTTAAAACTTTCTGTAACATCTATCGAACCTCTCGAGACGCCTTCTTTTTTTATAGTCATTAGTTTTATAAATTTATTTTTATAATTAACAGAGGCGGTATTTATGTGACCCATATTAACACAAGAATAATATTATTATTATTCCTTCTTAATATTTACATATTGAATGAAATTCTTGTTGATCAGTACAAATTTGGAATTCAAAAAATTTATGTTTCTCAATTTCTCAATTTAACATACATGCATATACATACTATTTTCCATTCAATGGCACATACTTGGAGTAATAGTAATAGGGGCCATGAATTTCGAAAAACAGAAAATAAGTTTTCGTTGTTTCGGAATCTAGATTATCATGGCGTGAGAAAAAAATTCTGAATTTAGAATAGATATTTTTTGAAGCTGCTTTCAATAAGAAATGTTCTACTCGCTAATACTAAGGTATTCAAATATTCGTAAATCCAAAATTACGAATTTCAAATATTTATTTGAATATTTGTAATTATTTTGGATATTCGTAATAGCAATTATTTAAAACAATTTTATTTGTTTCGAATATTCGTTTATTTCAAATATTCATTAATTTTGATAAATACTCAACAAGTCACAGTATACCTACTAAAAATTATATTTACTACAAAAAAAACCCCCCGTATTCCATTTGGTTTTGAGAAGACACTTTTACTTGGGTTTGACATGTTCTTACACTTCCCATCATCGTTAAATGAATATCTCGAGTTGTCTACCTTTCTTAACAATTTTTTTTTTTTGGCTGATGGTTGATGAATTATTCGGTGGTAATGGCAAAATAGATGAAAAAGTTTCCGAATTGGTTGTTAGATATCCTGCATATTCTTCATAAACATGAGTTGGCTCATCTTCTAATGTTAAATCAGTCAAACCACTCATAATTAAGGAATCAAATTATTTATCAAATATTTGTAATCGTACAAATATTTGTAATTGTTACAAATGTTTTGAATTAATTACGAATATCCCAAACAAATAAAATATTCGAAATATAAATTATATATAATAATGATAATAATAATAATAATAACTTTAATAAATTGATTTTCGAATATTTGTAAAAATTTGATTTTTCGGTTAGGAACACTACTACTCGCCTTTTTATAAATATTTGTTATATTAATATGTAAATTCGCAAATAGGTATTATGCTATTTGATTTGGCATTATGTCTTTTGCTGTTTTTTGTTTCGTTTGTCAATTGATTTTTTGGGAAGAATCGGAACAGAATCAAAAGGTGAATGGACAATTTTTGTTGTGCTTTTAGCTTCACAAGTGTTTGAATATATATAAAGTATAAGCGAAGGATACACCATTGAAAGTAGTTGGAAAAGGAAATAGATATTGGTGTCAATATCATAAGATTTGGATTGCAATTTAGCACAATAATCAGCAAGACTTCTGAAAGATTTACATAAGGTCGTTAGTAAATAATCTTAGCAATTTGTGTAAGCCTTGTATAAATTTCATTTTCCATATCATGGATGAATGTTGGAATATATATACTGATTCAATTTACAATTTTGACCATCATTCTGCAGACTAAAGATGGCTCCGCAAACCAGGAAGTTGCAACCCAAAAAAATTTTGACATCTAATGTTGCAACTGCTGCAAGTCTGTAACTGTCTATAAGTGCCGCAACCTCCGATTGGACAGCTACTTCAATTACTATAAAAATTGATAGAGTACCAACAAAATAAATCTGTCACATGATTAATAATTATATTAGTATTAATATGTACAATAAATAATCAGTTTTATAAAATGGTTTTATTAAAAAAAAATCAATGTTGTTAATAAAACATAATTAATGGTAAAAGATAATGGCAATAGTAGTAAAAGATAATGTTGTTTTATTTAAAATAATAAATAGTAATAATAAAAGATAATTTATTTACATCATTTTTGTAGTTATGTGATTCCATTTTTGATACTAAGTCATCATAATTATAGTTGCAGACAGTTGCAGATGTTGCAGATACTTGCAAGGGTTGCAGACAGTTTTAGGAGTTCCAGAGGTCGCAGAAAAGGTAGAGACTCAGTCTTTAAAATTTACAGTCACAGAAAATGTGAAAACAGTTATAGACATTAACTTTAGCGATGACATTGTATATTGGCATTCCTTTGATGTTTCGGGAATACTTGATATGCAGCAGCAACAGATGGTGAATCAACAAAATAAATGCGATCAAAGGTAAATAACCGTGACAACATATCCAACCCACTCACGCTTGGTTCCGATAGGAATTGTAATAGAATGATGGAAGTAAGAAAAAAACCAATGAAGTTATTTGCATTTTATAAATGTAAATGTTCAACATAAAGATTGTCCTTACCCGTCTCTCTGATTGATTCTTTAATGGATGAAAGATGTACAGCATTAATTCGGGATAAATAGCAGAGAATAGGTTTAATTAAAAACAAATTAATGAATAACCAAAGAAAAAAAGATTAGTTAAAGTCGTAAACAGTATATAAAATGTTTTTTCAAACAAACAAATAAAATGGAATGAATGGAAATATATTTTTACATACTTTTTACACAATTTGTTCATTACTTTTTCCTTCGAATTTAGTAATTCCTTTTGTAAAAAATATAACTTACTCTTTCCAATCTTCTTTATCTCTTTCTTTTCTTTCTCCAATTCCTCTGTCTTATCTTCTTCTGTTCATCATTCCTGTATTCTTCCTCATCCAACTTTATTTTCCAAGCCATTTAACCTTTCCCTTGAATTTCTCTGAATTCTCTTCTCCCTTTTCAAGTTGTTATCAAGACAAAAATTTAAAATTAATTTTAAACCAGAGTGACGACAAACACCATTCTTTTTAATAATGAATAACACTTACTTGCAACATTTTTTTTGGAAAAACAATTGATTTTAGACGAAGAGTTCAAGGGCAAAGAAGGGAACTAGGCATCATTGATAAACATATTAGAGGCACCAGGGCTGGTAGAGTAAAGGTGTTAAAAACCTAATTTTGCAATAATCATCTTGACTGAACTTGGCTTAACATATGACTAAATAGTTTAGTCAGTTTAGCCAATTGCTCATTTGAGTTATACGGCCAACCCTGTTTGGTTGGTTCCGAAAGAAGATATGTTGTTTGTTAATAACCAGAGAGGTACTTCTTTTTTTGTCTTATTGATATTATAAATAAATTCAAGTCAAGCAAGGCATCGATCGAAACTCGTTAAGACGTAACTCGATAAAATGAATTTTTGTTATAATGGAGTTTTTCTAGTTTACCTATTCATATTCCTATTGTTTCACTTTTAATGTTTAAAGACGATTACATATGGTTCCACATATAATAAATTATAACTTGACAATACGAATAATATCAGTTTATCGAAAGAAACTTCGTTTATTTTGTATAATTTTATAAATGATTTACTATTACGTATTCCACACTGAAATTAAAACAATCGAAACCTACTCCAACGAATAAAGATCTTGCTACTCGTTTAAAATTCGTTAGAAGTAACATTTTATTATATAAAAGTTCGTTGATAGCATAGACGAATATTTGTATAATTGTTTAAACCGAATTTTTTTTAAAAAAATTTTAACTACTTAATAAAATGATGCTTTGAGCCCAAAACAAGTACATCGGTTTAACGAGTTCTGACTGTAGGACAAAAGTTGTCATGTCATCTGTCTACATTATATAGCAATAGGTAATTATTATAGGGATCTTATCATGCATAATAAACAAGTAATTGGTATATTGGTTTGCATAACCATTATTAATGTTAAATATAATAATAAACAATTATAAAAGACAACACGGCCATTGAAGGTGGGAGGAAAACAATACAATATGCAACATTTTATTATCAGAAATTTAAGATGTTAAAAGTACACTCACTACTTTGAACATTACAGTTATTTTCAGCTTCAATGAACTCCAGGGCCATGTTGTTCCCCGGAATTTAATTGCATCATTGTATCATTGTGGAAATCTTTGGTCAGACTACACAAGGAACATGCATCATTGTTAAAGAAATTTTCCCTTCAATCGTCTCGCCTGTGAAATAAATTCCATAGGGATGAGGTGTGCATATTTGTGATAGGAAACTTTAATTAAATATGACGCTTGTGATTTATGAATTTTTCACACAATCTATGGGGCAAATGTATGTTGCATACAAGAAAAGGATTAAACAACAAAAGATGGTCGTTTTTTATTTTGACTCAACTAATACATATAAGATGAAAAACTGCCAGATCAATTGCACGAGAGGAAAATACTCGGACCAATAGCTATTTATGATGAGTATTGCCTATTAATTGGCGAATCTGGCAGAATTTCCATAGCACACTTTCACTACTTTTATCATCGATACAGAACAAGTAAAATAATATAAAAATAAATTTATTTTCGGTGTTGACTTGACGGTTGCACATGGGGTTTATCTTCCCCTTGTTTAAAGAAACCATTATGTAAAATTTACAACCATGTAAATTAAATCCTGTGAATTTAAAACAATTGTGTCACTATCTGATTGTTATAAAGAAAGAAAATTTAATTAGATGATGTTTTAATAAAAATTATTTTGTGTTTTAAAAGATAGATTTTATGCAAAATACGAATTAGATTCGACATTGAATTTATTAATGTAGATTGGCAAACACTGTAAAAATATTCAAAGTAGATCGTTCTTCATTTAATGTCAATTCAACAACAATACGTTCTCAAAAAATAGCAATGTCAGATCACTCAAGATCAAGCGTAGCATTGGGACTGTTATCAACCACTATTTAGTCATAAGAAATCAAATCCAACAATGTAAAATAAATAATTTTTAAAATTGTCTTATTCATAATTTAAAAAATGGGAAGTTGTCTTTACAATTTTTTATTACACAATTTTCCAATGTGTTAAATCCTTTTGTATATATATTTATGTTAAAATATATTAGATGATATATTTACATCCTCGAAGTTATTTAAAGATTAAAAAGTTGAAAAAAATTTTTAATATAATTTTGATTCTAACATTATTAGTTAAAACACTCGTAGTAAATATGAAGCGAAGAGGGATTAAAAGAAAAAAAACAAGGTGTAAGAAAAAAAAAATAGCAATAATAATAATATTTATAATATACAAAACAATCAATCTTTTTATGGAATAATATATATATATAAATATATATTATTACAACATAAATTACTAGCAAGTCAATAATTAGTTTAGTTAAAATATTAAATGTTGTTGATGATTATTTTAGCTAGCTAATTTTATTAAATCATTCAACCTTCCTTTTATTATCATCATCTTTTACATTAACATAATCATCATCATCATCATCCCCCCCCTCCACATCTTCGTCTTCATCTCCATCTTGAACAGTGGTGCGAAGATCTTTAGGCTTCTTTTTAATATCATCATTATATTCATCATTTTCATATTGTCCCTCATCCTCATCATGATTATCATTGCCAATATTTTCCTTTTTTTTCACTTCTTCCCAACCAAAAACCGGAATGAAACTTTCCACAAACCCAACGTCTGCAAATAAATTAGGAAATAACCATATCCCAGGTGGTACTATGACCAATGTAGTTATAAACAATACCATTCTAAACAAAGATACCAACATCAATACTCCAAACAAACCTAATATTGCTACAGAAATATACCAAACACCATTTCGTATTGAAGATGGCCATAATGGAAATAATACTGCAAGAAAAACAATAGAAACCAACAACAATCCACTTAGTATCGTCTTCAATTGAGATCCTTGGTAAAACCATACATAATATTGATCCTCTTTCCATGTTTGCATTGGTGTTATTCCTAAATTTTTAATTCGAGGCGATGATGTACTTCCTTCATTACCCGATCGTTCAGCTCTCAAATAAAATGTATAACTAAGAAGTTCTTCAAGCACACCATTTGCTTCGTTTTCATTATTGATTTTAGGAATGTTCTTTTGTTTAGAATATGACTCTTTAAGAAGTTGTTTTATAGCTGCTTTACCTATAATTATAAATAGTTGTTTGTTTATTATTAATCAATTTATAATTTGAGGATTATATACTTTTTTAATATAAACTTTTGTTGTAAAAATAATAAAAATAGCAAAGTAAAATAAATAAAAATAGGTTTTTTCTATACCTTTAAAATAATCAACTCTTTTGCCGTTCAAAATTCCTTGACGAGTTTTTACAGTAGACCTTAAATATTTTGCTACGTTTAAAATTTGTGGGGGGGCTTTAGCTTGATCTTCCATATTTTCTTGAAAAAAATAAATAATTTGTTAATTTTTGCTTAATGAAAAAAAATTTGTTCAATTATATTTAGAATTTTTTATTGTCCAATTAAATTTAGACACAAAATACAAAAAACTGCCACGTGAAAAGACATTTTTAATATTAATATATAGCATGCTTGCAAAGCTGACAAAGTGAACATTCGTATCACCAAATATTACAAATTCAATTAAATAATTCGATTGTTGTAAATTTTTATTATTGACAAATTGAAATTTATTAAAAAAAACTAAGGAGTCAAAAGATAGAAGAAATAACAATATCATTATTTTCTGAGAAATTGAACTTAAACACTTTGGATCTTTGTTGAATTCCTTGTTGAATGGAATGCTTCATCACCAGATTTGGATGATCTTACATGTAAACTTTTGTCAAGAAGAAACCTTTAAAAGATGTCAAACCAAAATTCCTTGAATTCTTTAACCACAATGACAGAATCTAATTCAAATATATATCATATGAAATAATTTGAATTCTGCATAATTTTAAAAGAGTTGTCTTTAAATAAATGGATTTGAAAAAAAAACATTCACTTGGTGCAGATAAATCCCACTTTATCAAAGCCTTCAAACATTTGTGGAGCTTCAACTATGGAAAAAATTACACAGCTATGAGGTGTGTTAAGAGCACAGAGTTGTGTGTTTGTTTGTGATGGGAAATTTTTTATTAAATCTGACACCTGTAATCAATGTCATTAGATTTATTATTCATACAATAGAAAGGAAAAATAAATTTTTTTGATCTTTCCTAATAAACCTATCTGGGAATACTGGAATAGTTGGTGATCATTCTAATTTTGGTAACAAAATATTCATATTTAGAGGGATCTATTATTCCAGATTAATTAGTTTTGATCTACATTAGTACACCGTATACCCCATACAGTTATGTACTAGGTCTGGCATAAATAACTCATTATAAAAGTGATCTTTAGTAGGTGGATAATTGCATAATTAGGTTACACTGGGGATAATATGAATTATTGTTATGGAAGAGAAAGATCGGAAATCAGGTTTTCGACCGATTGTTCTGATGGTTACACTTGTAATTCTTTTTTTTAGATCTTCTTCCCCCTTATTTAATAAAATGTTATTCAATTTCCTGATGACTTGCTCATTCTTGATTAATTGTTAATAAATAATGAAATGACAAATACCAGATAATCATCACGATCTTAAAGCTGATCAGATAATCAAAAACAGGATCAATTTCGTGTTCGAATGTACCTTCATTGTAATGTTTAAAGTTGATGTTTCTTGTTTCATTGATTCCCCAACGCGTCTCTCTACAAATTAATTATAATATATAAACAAAAAAGTTAATATATATATATACTGTATATATAAATTTGATATATGTATGTTTTAAGTAAAATGCTCATGGAGACAATATCTTTCATTAAAAATGTTTTTTTTTACTTCGAAAGCAAGGTATTTTTTATGGTTTAACAGTACTTGTGAAATTTATGGATTTTACATAATGAATAATCTCGTCACGCGTAATTCATTCGTCGTCCGTAATTAATTTCGTAATTATTATTATATACATATTACGTATTACGTTTTTGGCAAAACAATTATCATCCATTAAAATCAGCAGAACCGATTGTGAACAAGTATACCAGTGCTTTTGAGCTACTTGGTTTGGAATGTTACTGTAAAATTAAATTTCCTTTCAACATCTTCTGTAAATATAATGGGGAAAGTACACTAAATGATCATTCAAATGGTAAAAAAATAAACGAGTGAGAATAATTTTTTCGCTACCTTTCTCTTTATTAAATTCAACTAATGCATTTCTGTACTTGTTTATTTCTCCATCCCTCTTCCTCCAACTCATCCTCTTTACTTCATCTGCTTTTTCTGCTTTTTCAAATTTTTCAACTTTTCAACTGTTACCATTTAAAAGAATAAAATTAAAAAATCGCGATTCCGGGATTCGTTTTACAATTGTAAAATATCAACAAGAGTTATGGTTTGTTTTTTTGATTGTTAATAAATAAAAATTTTGACTTTACCTATCCTATTTATAATTCTTAAGATTGCGTGTTCTTCATTATTTTGGAATGGAAAACTTGGGATATTAGATTTGTTAAAATAAATCTTAATCCATGGGCTGTTTGTATAAATTTCTAGGAATATTCTCCATCTTTAATGGGATGCTTTCGAACAAGGCAAATGAAGACTAGAAGGCATAGAAAGAATGATTGATAATTTAATCAAATTTTGATACAACTAAGCGTTTGGTGGTTTTTGAATCTGGTCTGGTAAATAAAAATTTCGAGTGTAGAATTCATTATTATTTGTCACAGAAACTAAAAGGACATTTATTTTTCGAAAGTTCGAATTTTCTTCATTTATGAATTTTTGGATGGTCCTTTTCTATTGAAAAACCTTCGTGTATTATTATATCCTCCTCGAATTAAGTTTTTTTTTCCTGTTGCATTTTTAGGAAAGCCGATTCTTTTTTTTTTCAATTACCTACCTCTCAAGTTATCCCAAAATTCTCAATGAGAAGGCCAATCTGTTAGTGACTTGTACAATCCAATTTTTCGGTATGGACAACAAATTTATTATTTTGGATCATTTTTTGCTTTGAGCCGACCGCTTATGCACCTTTTGTAAATATTTTCCTTTTTAAAAAATCGATCTTCAATCTATGTATTTTTATGGAAGCATAAAACAAACAAGATTGTTACAAGGAAATATAAAAGTGATTGATAATATATATATAAAATTAAGAAATTGCTATCTGACAATGCGAAGAAGCTTGACTTGAAGAAGAAAACAAAGAACAAATTCTATCATGTTTAGGGTGTAAATATTGTAAGGTTATATATAAATGTTTAAACACAACCAATTTATTTCAATTTTTAAAATGAGAGATGATTATGGAGGAGGATTTAATAATTGCAGACTTGCCGTATTTTCAACCAAAACATATAACATTTCGCAAAATCCTAAAAACAATCTTTCTCTTGGTAAAGAATACTAATAATGAACGAACGCCTTTAAGATGTTCAATGCAGCTTCTGGGACCTATTGTATTCAATATTTGTTGTACATATTGTATTACACTAACTCAATGTTCCTTTTTTTGTCCACAACAACGCACATCAATTCAATAAAAATTCTGAATTTTATTTCTCAAGAGTTAAAAACAAGTTATAACTTTTTTTTATAACGAAACAATTTTTAACTCTTGAAAAAGAGTCAAAAATAATATTTTATTAATTAATTCTAAAAAAATTTAATTATTTTTATATAAAAAATTATCTATTTAATTTAATTCATTAATTAATTATTTTTAAAAAAATGGCCACCACTACCACAACCACCACAACCACCACTACAACATCTCACATCACTCCCAAAAAGCCTAAAATTAGATTACCTAAAAATAGCAATTCGGAAGGTTTCAATGGGTTACTCGACGAAGCAACTAGAAAAGAAAAAAAAGAGCTCATGAATCAACAGGCTAAAGAAGAAGTAAGCCGATTAAAATTATACAATTTACATGTAAACAAACCGATAAGTAATTAATTATTTTTATTCAGGCTGAAAGAAACTTGCCAGAAATAGCTACCAAGGTTGACATATTCGAAACACCTTTATTCTTGAACGATGATAAAGGCATCATAGTAAATTATCCGCTTCTCAAGGATGCACAAAAAAAGGAGAAAGAAGACCATATCAATAACACATTAGATTTACTTAGTGGCAAAAGAAAGGTATTTATAATAATAGTATGTTAAATTGCATTAAAATTTTATTTATTATTTTATTTAATGATGTTTGTTATACAAATATATAAAGACACAAGAGGTCACAAAAACTGCTATAGAGATGCTCCAAAGGATGTTTGGAAATGCTCCAGAACAACCAAGAACGAACGGCTCAAATGTTGGCTGTTTGGCTCCCAATTTTGAATTTCCTAAAAAAAATAATAACAACAAAAATAATAACAGAAATAATAACAACAACATTAGCAACAATAACAACTACAACAATAACAACAATAACAACAATAACAACAACAAAAATAGCAATAATGAAAATAATTATAATCGTCATCTTAATAATCTTAATCAACAACAACTACATGATAATTCCTCCACTTCAAATAATAACAATTCTACCGGTAACAGTAGTTCATCATCATCGGACGATAACAGAGAGTTAGATAGTGATGAATTGGAAAGAAAAGAACGTGCTAGACGTCGTAAAAGCAACCTTAATGTATTTGCATCTGAATTCACGCCCTCCTTCTTTGCAGGTGGTAACAATGACAATAATTCAAAGACGGCTGATTCTGATGTAGATTCTCGCAGGCACAAAAATTCTAGAAAAGAGAGGGTAATCATTGTTTATTAATTATGATTAGTTAATAATTATAATCGTTAATTCATGTCAACATTATTATATTGATTTTGATAGATGATGAATGGTGATGTAAACGGTGACCACGAATCACTTCATAGCAGAAGGAGAAGAAGAAGCATGACATACATTCCACCAGAACTTCCACAAGCGATAGATCCTTCCTCTCCATTCTCACCTACACCATATCCAAACATGTTTCATCCACACCCACCTGCTCCTTTCTCAATTGCACATATTCCACCACCACATATGCAACCGCCACCGCCACCACAAGCTGCTGCTGCTGCATTTATTGATCCACTTTCTACTTTAAATTTGGAACAAATTGTAAATCGTATCGAAGATGGCCTTCAAAAAAGAATCGAGGGCCTCATGACTCAAATAAGCGCTGAATCAATCAAAGCTGAGGAAATTAACCAAGATTCCAATAGTGACAAACTTCTTGCATCACATATGATGAAGGATCGCCAAAAAGAACTTGAAAAACAAGTGAATGATCTTACCATAAAGAATCGCGAATTACAAAATTCTATTGAAGAATTGAAAAGTCAAGAATCAATTCAATTGAAAAATAACAGTCGCGAGTTGGAAAATGCCAATCATGATAATAACCAATTACGTAAAAGGAACCAAGATCTTGAGAAAAAATTTAATGACTTCCAGTCAAGTAAAAATGCTGAAACCGAATCTACAAATAAGGAACTCAGTGCTCTACGAGCTGAGAATAGTCGTCTTGAAACTCAATTGAAAGAAATCCAGCACAAAAATAAAAATTTTGAAGAACAAATTGCTGAGTCATCTAAACTGAGACCTCAGATTAAAGAGCTTGAAAAACAAATAGGCGATCTTGAGAAAATATGTAAGCACGTGAATGAATTGGAATCACAAGTGGTGGAGGTTGACCATTTGCATAAACGAAATAAAGAATTAGAAAAACAAGTTGCAGAAGTCAAAGTTCTTCGTCAACGATCAAGAGACTTTGAAAATCAAAAAATTGATCTACAAAATGCTAAAAAACAAATCTATGAACTTGAAAATCAAAAAATTGAACTACAAAATGCTAAAAATCAAATCTATGATCTTGAAGCTCGTTATGAGAATCAGAAATCAGAAATCCATAAATTACATCAAAAAAACCACGATATTCAACAAAAATACATTTCAAAATCAAAAGAATTTGACCAATTTAATGTTCAAGTTGAGGGTCTTAAGAAAGATTTGGCGGTTGCTGAAGGACTAATAAATGACTATCAAAGTAATAAAGTGGAACTTTCGCAAGCTCGTACAGAAATAATTGGATTGAAATCTCGAATGCGTGAATCTGAAGAAGAAAAAAACAGAGCAATCGCCGAAAAAAGTAAAGACTTGGAAAATCAAGTTGCAGAAGTTAAAATTCTTCGTCAACGATTAAAAGACTTTGAAAATCTAAAAGATGAGCTACAAAATGCCAAAAAACAAGTTCGTGAAAATGAAACTGTTTCTGAGAACCAGAAATCAGAAATCAATAGACTACATCAAGATAACCTTTCAAATTCAAAAGAACTTGCCAAGCTTCATCTTCAGCTTGACGAACAAAAAAAGAACTATCAAAATAATGCAATGGAACTTTCACAAGCTCGTGCAGAAATAATTGGATTGAAATCTCGAATGCGTGAATTTGAAGAAGAAAAAAACAGAGCGATCACTGAAAAAAGTAAAGATTTGGAAAATCAAGTTGCAGAAGTTAAAGTTCTTCGTCAACGATTAAGAGACTTTGAAATTCTAAAAGATGAGCTACAAAATGCCAAAAAACAAGTTCGTGAAAATGAAACTCTTTCCGAAAATCAGAAATCAGAAATAAATAGACTACATATGAAAAACCAAGATAGTCAACAAGAAAGCATTTCAAAATCGGAAGAAATTAGACAACTTCTTGTTCGTATTGAAGATCTTAATAGAGATTTGAATAGTGCTCGTGAACAAATAAAGGACAACCAAAAAAATGCAGTGGAACTTTTACAAGCTCGCACAGAAATAAATGAACTGAAATCTCAAATGCGTGAAACCGAAGAAAAAAACAGATTGTTTATCGAAAAATTACAATCGCAAAGCTCCAAAGCTACCTCTTTTGAACCGTTATCAGTATCACGAAGAAATTCAGGTGACGTTAAACTTTTAGCGGGAGGAGGAAGCCACGTCTATGAAAATCGTGTTGGAACACCTATAACTCCTTATGCACAACCACCCTACCATCAAGTTCCTCTTAATGGAAACAATGCACCACATCATCAAATTAATTCACAACCGCAACCACAACCATTATCATTACAAAATTCATATAATCCAAATCAAAACCTACCACCAGTTCAGCCACTACAACAACTACCACAAAATTTATACAATCAAAACCTATCATCAGTTCAACCACCACCACAACAGAACTCATATAATCAAAATCAAAACCTACCATCATTACCGTCACAATATCCTCAACAGTCACACCCCGTTACTGCCACTTCACAAATGCCACAACAAGCTCCATCACATCCACATCTTCAATATGCTCAACAATCTCTATCCACTGCTGCTGCCCCACAAATTCTACCATTAACTGTTGGTGCTCCACCAATTTCAGCAATGCAAACACCACAAACACCTCAATTACAAACAATGCAATTATTTCCTCAAACAATACAGCCATATGCTGCTAACCATCAACCAGTCCCGCAATCAGCCACTAATTCGCAAATACAATTACCTGTTGCTCAATTGCCTACACCTACTGCTAGCAATACAACAACTGCAAATGCTGCTACTGAACAAAAACCACCTTCAAATCAAACTACCAAAATTAACATTCACAATAATAACCATTCTAACCATGTTTCTCGTACTTCGTCACCTGCTAATAATACTTCTTCAAATTATAACAATAATAATAATCGGCAGAATAAAGGAAACCATAGTCGTAGCAATTCCCGAAACCTTATTTCAAAAAATCAAAACAAACATAATAACAATAACAATAATAATCATCAAAAGAACAAAAAACCAAATAACAGCAATAATAATAACAAACATAATAATGATGATGTCGAATCAAATAACAATGGAGACACTAAAGAAGAAGTTATCCCCTTAAGTTCAAAAGCTTGGTGGTAGATTATTTATTATTTGTTTATTTATTCATATATGTATAAATTTATATTTTATATATAAATATTATTTAATTATTTATTTAATGTTTTAAAAAAAATTAATTTAATTATGTACTCTATTTAAAAAAATTTAAAAAATAAATTAATTTAAATTGTTTTTTTATTAAGTATTTATTCTTTTTTATGTCTAGTACAAATCAAGAAATATATGTATTAACCAATTTAATCAAATCATTTACTTTTTGAATATATAAGCCTTAATTAAACGAGTGTCCATTGAAGATTAATTTAGATATATATGTGTGTGTGTGTGTGTGTGTGTGTGTGTAAATGTATCTTCATACTTTCCATGTTATTGAAAAAAAATAACTTAACGTTTTTTTGATTGCTTTGGTTTAACATCTTCTTCTTTTACAGCGTGCAGATAGATTGCATTTTTTGAAGGAAGTTGTGGATATTGAAGGTATCCCTATATTATATTTATGTGTGATGTGCGAGAAAATGTGTGAATATATATACATATATATTGAAAATATTATAAATACCTGACAAGAAATTACATACTTTACTCCAATCATAGCTTACAGCATAAGCAAAGATAGTGCCAGTTCTATTGAAATCGGAAGCGGTTATTGGTGTACCGACGCTAGCAAAGCCTTTAAGGCGTGATTTTGAATCTTTATCCCAAAAGATGAATGTGCCATCACTTCCGGCAGTTGAGAACGTACCATAAACTGGATGAAATGATATTGCATTCACCGAGTAAACATTGTTGCCTTCTCTATGACATTTAAATGAAAACCCATTTCTTATAAAATGGTGATGGTGGTAAAATGTTATCATAATTAAAATTAAAATTAGAATTAGAGGGTTAGAGTTAGAATTATAGAATTAAAAAGCTAAAGAATTAGAATGATCACTATACAAGCAAAAAAGAAGGATAATAATGATTGATGATTCAATAACGGTTAAATATAATTATTTTAGGTTTCTTACTGATTTTCTTTTTCATCAAAATATTGTATTCCAACTCTTCCCTCAATACTTCCTACAGCATATCCATTACCAGCAGGAAAACATGTTAAACAACGTGTTTGCCATTTCAAAGTGCTTGTAGTTTCCTATATAATATAAACAAATCATAAACATAGATTAACTAATTAATTAATTACTCATTGATTAAATTAAACCAAATCAATCAATCAATCAATAATCAATAATCAATCAATCAATCAATCAATCAATCAATCAATCAATCAATCAATCAATCAATCAATCAGCAATAAAGTCATCAATTACCTTCACATGTTGTTGAGGGTTATTAAGATTGTATAAAAAGACACGTTTATCATAAACACCTACAACCAGATATGGGTGTAGTGAATCCATGGCAAAAACACGTTCAGGTAAGCTAACATTCATAACACATTGTGAAGTTCGTAAATCCCAATACTAAAACCAAATTTTTATTTAAATTATATAAATTTTTCAAAGCAAAAAAAAAACAGAGATAGAAACAAATCATAAAGAATATAAAAATACCTTTAACATTTTATCCCAACCGCCTGTTAACACTACATTATTATTATCAAGATATTTTATTGATTTTATTGGTTGATCATGTTGAGCTACCTGTACTGTTGATTGTGTGGTAACATCAAACATTCGACCAGCATTATCAGCACCGCCTGAAAATAATTTTGTTCCATCCTAATAAATTATGAAAAAAACAATAATAAATCAATATATATATACATGCGATCAAAATTTATTAATATTGACGATTTATTAGCAACATACTTTACTCCAAGTTGAACAAAATACAGGTTTTTCATGCAAATAAAGAGCTTTGCCTACAGCAGAGCCAGTCTGTGAATTCGCTTCGTATATTCGAACCTAAGGAAAATAAATAAAGAAGCTCTTTTTATTAACATGATCATCGATTCATTTGATTGTTAATTAATAGATTCACAGAAAAAATACGTGATTGTCCCATGAAGTCACAGCAAAGAAATCTGCTTGAGGTGAAAATGTTACTGAAGTTATGCCATCTTGTGGTGACTGAGGAACCTAGAAATTCAATTGCGATTTGGGACTGCATTAATTAGGAGATATATATATATATATGTACACACACATGATCATTAATAAAATCATACAATAAAATCAATCAATAAATGATAATAATAATAACCTCGTAATCTTTTGGAGTCTCATTAGTACTCATCATTGGTTTACTAGAACTAGAAAACGCCATAAATTCATAAATTTTGAGAAATGAGTGCGATTTTAGTAGTAGTGACACATTTATATACAAATGACATGTACATTGTACGCAGCAAGTTTATAAAATATGCCAAATTCGTAATGTTACACAATATGTGTCATTCACGTGAGCTTAAATTAGATGCAGATCATTATGATCGGGCACGTGATATATTGTACCCAGTAAAAAAATTCACGAGTGTCCCCGTTAGAGTTGCCTTTCTAAACTCTTTCAAACTAGTTTAGAACCTTAAACTACTTTTGAAACCAACCCAAAACTCCAGATATTTTCCGTGAATCAATGAATTTTTTTTTTACTAATACCAATGAAATAATTTCCTTTGGATCTGATAACAAAGTCTTGGAAATAAATTCTGTTAATTCATTTAATACAACAAATTCCCTTGGAACCAATTCCATTTACGGTAATGTCAGGCTTCATATTCCTATAAACATAGGATGCGGAATCCTATTATAAAATTCTGGAAATTCCGTAAATTTAACATTAAATATAAAAATTGTCACGTTATTCTAGTTATAAAAAACACGTATAACATATTATTGCCAATTCTCAAGTTTAATTGCATCCTTATGATTGATTATGTGAATTTGCATGATCTTTAATATATAAAGTTTATTGTCCAAATTTATTTTTATTATTATACTTGGCATACGTTTTTTCTCTTTCCAGGGACCTTTTAATAGAATAACCTCCTCATTCGGGATCAGCAGAAAGATTAACCTTACTTTTCGAGTCAATGGACAATAAGGCATTTCCTTTGGCCCATTTAATATTATATACTTTTTTTATAATTATTCTGTGTATCTATGTGATAGGCTTCAAAAATACTGACCGACTGAGCTGTACTATTATTGCGTATAACTAACTGAATTTAAAATTTTAATTATTATTATTATTATTAATAACAATTCGGATCAAGTAAATTACAAAATAAAAAAATATTTTGCAAATCTTTTCCAAAATTGACAATTAGAAATTCAATGTTGTAATAATAATATTTTATATAGTTAAAATGGGAAAATCATCAAAAGATAAGCGAGATATCTATTATCGTTTAGCAAAAGAACAAGGATGGAGAGCTAGAAGTGCTTTTAAGTTATTACAAATTGATGAAGAATTTAATATATTTGAGGGTACAAATTTTGTGATATACTT